AGCAAAGTTGGTTATACCAAAGATGCTTTTCCTTTGAGCCCAGATTCCCAGGGCTGGGCCCAGCATTTCGGGATATGTGTTAGCAGTCTGCACTTGAGGCGTTTGGCATTGCTTCCCTCTCACTTGTAAGTGATCCCACAGGTTCCCCAGCAGCAGAGGCCAGCAGGCTTTGGGGAAGGGATTAGTGCAGGGGTGGGCAAACTTTTTGACTCGAGGGCCACAATGGGTTCTTAAACTGGACCAGACGGCCGGAACAAAAGCATGGATGGAGTGTTTGTGTGAACTAATATAAATTCAAAGTAAACATCATTACATAATTGCTTCCCTCTCACTTATAAGTGATCCCACAGGTTCCCCAGCAGCAGAGGCCAGCAGGCTTTGGGGAAGGGATTAGTGCATAGAAAATGAGAGATATGCAGGTTTGGTTTGGGCTGATGATTGGAAACCAGGTGTGCTTGTGATTTGGAGAGGCATGAAGGGAAGAACAGAGAAAATAATTTTCTTTCTCCAAAGAATCTGTTTCCATGACCCCCAAGAGTCACTCTTTCAGAACCAGCCCAGTGTGGAGGTGAGATGGGAGGAAAGCAGTGGAGAAGAAAGTTAAAATCACCACCCTGTCACTCCGGCCCTCAAGATGTTTGCCAGTTACAGCTCTTCTGTGGAAGGGGAGACACAGGCTTGGGCACTATTGGACAGATTGCTTCTTTCAGTTGCATTTCTCAGGGCAAAAGTGCCCATCTCATTACACCCACCCCAGAGCTTTATTCTAGCCTCAAAGCGCCTCCACTGCCTGTTGCTTTGGTATTGGGTATTGAAGTTCCCCCTTTCCTTCTTGTGTTTGTGCTGCACTGAATGCATATTGGCTGTGCTTGCAGCCAACTAATAACGCAGCCCTGAAGTTCTGTCCCTACTTCAGTTGTCCCTGTACCTCCCTGTGCTTTTTCCTTCGCTGGCCAGTGGGCAGGAGGCCTCTGGTGGCTGGGTGACCAGCATGGAACGGGGCTTTTGGGGGTGAGCACACTCATTTGGAGGTGAGGGTCTTCCCACCCTCACAGACCTCTGATGTCTCAGGAGGATGGGTGGTCACCCTCTCGTTTGTGATGTGGGCTTCCAGAAGTAGGTGCTGACATGCTCCCTGGAAGCATTTTCTATCCTTCTCTTGTCCTTTTCCATTTTCCCTTCCCTCCTCATGGGCCTGGATCTCACGAAAATTGGTGGCAGAAAAGTAATTTGGGTTGAAAGAGCAAAAAGATGTCAGAGCCTGTTGTGTCTAACCTGGTTCTGAAAGGAAAGGCTAGAAAATCCCTGAGGTTTTGATGCTATTAGCACATTTTATTAATGAAAGTGAAGAACTGCTATCTCTTAAATGGGCCACATAACGCAGTAGTGGAGGGAAAGGATGACACCCCTACAGCCCGCTTCCCATTGGACTAGGCCAAATCAGCCTTGGTCCCCCGAGTGAGGGTACAGCATTTCAGGTCAGAAAAGCACTTGTCAGCTGGCAGTTCTCTTCTGGGACTGTAACCTGCTTAAAGTGCCTGGAAACTTCCTGGGGCTCGGTTTACCTTGGAGGAGGGGCTTTCCCCATGAGCCTTCCTCTTTCTGGAGCATTTGGTCCCTTGGTCCCTGTTCCAGCTGTCCCAGATTGTGAGGCTTTATAGTAAGCAGTCAAGTCAGAAATGGGAAGCAAGAATCCTGAAGTGCTCATAGCTATTTGGGGTTTTATTGTTTACAAAGCAGTTGTCACGGTTTCATTTTATCGTTAGAGTGGCACAGTATTTTCATTCCTGTTTTACAGAGAAGAAAAATAAGGCACAGTATCTTGACCAGAGTCACACAAATAGTAAATGCCATCCTCATCCTTGGCAGTTTTTCTCTCTCTCAGTGGTGGGGCGTCCCTGTCCAATAGAAATTTTGTTCCTGGTCAGCTCTTGGCAGTAAACCAAAGCCATCACAAGGACCCCGTTAGCAGCTGCAGATGGCTATGAATGGGGGAATGAAGTCAGCAGACCTGTCTTGATGGCCTTTGTCTGGAGTGCCCTTGAGAATTCAGTTGCATTCTGCACATGTGCCCCTCTTTGCTGCCTGAGGCCTCCCCTAAACCTGAACTCTGCCTGCATCTGCCTCTTTAGCACCCAGCCTGGCTTCACTGTTGATAGTCTCAAGGTCAGCTGGACCAGCACAACTATCAGGAACCTTCAAGGCCATTATTCATGCTCAGCATGCATCCTAATTTAAGTATCGTTTCCTCTTCTTTATTTTTTTAAAATATACTTTATTGATTTTTTACAGAGAGGAAGGGAAAGGGATAGAGAGTTAGAAACATCCATGAGAGAGAAACATCATTCAGCTGCCTCCTGCACACCCCCTATCGGGGATGTGCCTGCAACCAAGGTACATGCCCTTGACTGGAATCGAACCTGGGACTCTTCAGTCCACAGGCCGACGCTCTAGCCACTGAGCCAAACTGGTCAGGGCTCTTTCTTTCTTTCTTTCTTTCTTTCTTTCTTTATAATTGTCTTCTTTATTTTTTAAATATATTTTTATTGATTTCAGAGAGGAAAGGAAGAGGAGAGAGAGAGAGAAACAATGATGAGAATTATTGATCGGCTGCCTCCTGCACACCCCCTACTGGGGATTGAGCCCGCAACCCGGGCATGTACCCTGACCGGGAATTGAACTGTGATCTCCTGGTTCATAGGTCAGTGCTCAATCACTGAGCCACACCGACTGGGCCACTTCCTCTTCTTTAAAAGAAAGTCAAGAAGAAAGACCACAAATTCTCAAAGCCACATACCATACTTCCTTTTCCTTACCACTGACCTGCTCTCTCAGACAGGTAGCACTGGATCATGGCTCTCTTGAAACATGCCCTAAATTCCTCTTGAGCTCCAGCTTACCCCTTTTTTTCTGCTGGAACTTCGAGGGGCATTTAAAGCACACTGCTGTCAAAACTCTGATCCCCACTGTGATCTTCACCCAGGGCTGGTTGGCTGGGGTGGGGAGACATGGTGGTTGTAGTGTGACAGAGCCCTTCAGTTGATTTTGATTAACAGTCCCCACTGGAGAATCCTGGGTCCTTTGGTGACAGATGGAAGGGGAATTTGTTCTGCCATGTGTCTTCCTCCCCATTAGTCTCCCTTATTTTCTCTGTGTATCAAAAAGGGATCCCGTGTCTGTGGCTTCTCCGTCTACCAGGGAATCTGAAATTCAAATTTAATGGGCATCCTGTATTTCACTTGGGAAATATGACAACCTAACCCTGAGGGCTTATGTCAAACCTAGGAGCAGACCCTGCCCTTGTGTTTCTAGCCATTCTGGCTTCTAGTTGGCAGGGGTTTTTTTGTTTGTTTTTTTAAAATATATTTTTATTGATTTCAGAGAGGAAGGGAGAGGGAGAGAATGATAGAAACATCAATGATGAGAGAGAATCATCGATTGGCTGACTCCTGCACCACCCACACTGGGGATCGAGCTCGCAACCCGGGCATGTGCCCTGACCAGAAATCAAACCATTGACCTCCTGGTTCATAGATCGACCCTCAACCACTGAACCACGCCAGGCTCTAGTTGGCAGTTTTGACACAGCCCCTTAGTTCCTGATCCCAGACCAGGTGGTAGCTGGCTACTAGTTGCTAATAACACGCATCTAGAGAGTTGACTATTCCTCTTGGATCAATTGTCCTCAGGACCCTGACAGAAGCTAGTTTCCCAAAGTGATGGTGATAGCATTCACTGCCGTTTTGTTGAGCACCTTCTCTGTGCTAGCTACATTGGCAAGGTTATGTGCTTAGTCAGAGTCAAATAGCCAGCAAAGGCAGAGTCAGGATTCACAGTTAGAGCCATCCTCCCTGTAGTAAGGCATAGGGCAGCTTGGCTGGAAAGCAGAAAGGAAAGCCTGCATTTCACAGGGTGCTGTGAGAGGGAAAGCAAGGTCCGGGACTCAGCAAAGGAGCATAAGTTCCTAAAGCTGGTAAGGTTCTCACCATAAACGTAATGACCTTGTAATGACAGATGCACATTTTCCAAGATGCAACAAAGAAAAATTAGTGCAGAGATTCAATTATGTGTCCCATTGTCAAAGGCAATTTTGCTCTCTCAAATAGATTAATTAGCAGCAGAGATCCCCCTCCCTCGGGCAAATCTCGGCACACTTTATGGCTAGAAGGAGTATTGAAATGCAGCTGTGTCTCGCCTGCCTGCTTCATCTCGGTGCTTCCTTCCCATCCTGCCTGGGAGGACCCAGGGAAGCCTTGTCTACTGAACCTGGCCTCAGATTTAGGGAGCTAGTCACCGACCTTTTAAGGTACCCCAGTATGTGGACTATGGGCAGCAGAGGCACTTGATCTCATTTACTTATAATAATTTAGGGAAAGGTCTCTTCTGTCAGCCTGGAAGCAACCTGGTCCCAACTGGGTGGAGGATATATGGAGGAGGGAGGGTGAGGGGAAGGAAAGGGTGGAGGCAGTGAAATACCTTCTAACGTGAGCGCTCTATGTACCTCTTCACTTCACCTTCCCTGCAGCCCTGTGAGGTGGTTTTTGCTACACTTCTCCTTCCATTTTCAGATGACCTTTTGTGACATTTTGATGTATATACGCAGGGTGCATGGCCTCCTCTCCCCACCAACTCAGCACACCACTAAGTGAGCTGGACTCTGAACCTGTGCTTGGCTCGGCCCCTGTTCTCTCTTTAAAGCCTTGTTACATTTTCTTGCCACCAAAGCCTCTCATGTCCTTTCCCTTTGATAAGTTATTGCTTTCTTTTTTCATTCACATCTAAACCAGAAACATCCTTGTTTAGACCAAATGTGAGGGTCATGTTACTGAGAGTCGTGGGTGGTCATTCTGGGCACCAACTGTGGTCATCTGTTTGTTTTTGCTGTGACTGGTGATCCTGCTGCCCAAGTGGATCTGTTCACACCTGGGGGGGTGGGATAGTGCAGTGGAGACACTTTCTCTTACAGGATTCTGACAAACATCTTTTTCATTTTCTTCTAGGTACATTGAACGGAAAGCTTTTCTAGACCGAGTGGATCACAGGCAGTTTGAAATTGAGCGAGATCTCAGGCTGAGCAAAATGAAACCCTGATGGTGTGGGGGGACATCGTAGCGGCTTAATCCTGTTTACAATGTGAGCTTCTTGTGGGTCTGTGAAATGTCTCTAGTGTTTCTCCTCGACTGTTTCCCAGCAAGACCTTTTTTTCTACATTGAATTTCTATCTTTGTATCTTCATCTCACAGTTTCATTCATTTTTACTTTTAAAAGTTTGTTCTTAAATAAAAGTTGGTCCTATAAGAGGCTGGTGAAGTTGATGACACCACTCGCCTTCTCTTTATTACATTCCAGGCCTGTCCAGCTGGCCAGGGTGAGGATGTGAACTTGGGGGCCATGGGGCTCTTTCTGAAGTCGGCCTGGCCCTGGAGACTGATAGCAGGGGGCTCCCTAGTCTTGGTGCAATGCCAGGTCTCTGGGCAGTTTAATTCTTGGTTCTATCTGTGCTTCTCTCCTTGAATGGGATTCCAATTACTGGTATTAAGTAAGGCTGAGCCCTAGCCAGTTTGGCTAAGTGGATAGAGCATTGGCCCGAGAACTGAAGGATCCCAGGATCCCAGGTTTGATTCTGGTCAAGGGCACTTACCTCGATTGCAGGATCAATCTCCCAGCCCCAGTAGGGGTGGGTGCGGGAGGCAACCAATTAATGTGTCTCTCATATCCCTCTCTCTCTCTCTCTCTCTCTCTCTCTCTCTCTCTCTCTCTCTCTCTCTCTTTTTCTCTAAACATCAATGGAAAAAATACCCTTAGGTGAGGATAAAGAAAAAGCAGCCTCAGAGCAGGCTTTCATTTATGTGTCATTGGCCATAGCTGGGTCCTTCGACCGCCCCTGGCTGTGGCGGAGGCTGGAAAAGCCTCTGACCTGGGAGACAGGAAGTGGGCTGAATGGGGAACATTAGGGCTAGGTGATAGGTCAGCCAACCAGTGGTACCTCGTACACTCAGTTCTTTGTAATAAACAAACAGGCTTTTCTCCATTTGGTCTTTAAAATTGTCCCAGAGGAGTGGGTGGAGTTAGAGATGAAACAAGATAGGCCATGTGTGTTGGTAACTATTGAAGCTATACATCAAGTTCTTTATATAGACTTAAATTTTATATAGACTTACAATGTTCATAATCCTTTTTTAAATTGAGGCAGAATTGAGCTGTGTATAAGGAAAGGTTGAAGTGCTCTGCCTAGTCCAGGACAGAATGGGTGGCCTCCCAGAGCGGCCCCTCCCCCACAGGTCTGGCAGTGGCCAGGAATGAATTGGAGGGGACCCTGGTATAGGAAGAATTGTGCCCCACCATCTAAGATCCATCTCCCAGATGTGGAAGCACCTTTTCTAACCCTAACATTCACTCCTTACTGTGTGGCTCAGTTCCAAGGAACAAGAACTGGCCAGCAAGACAGGTTCTCGGGTGTGGACAGCTGGTCTCTCCAAATGAATGGCTGTGTCTTATAGGTGTAAACCAGGCCCCAGGAGATGTTATGGCAGAATGCACAGGAGAACGATCAGCCATTACTCTGAGGGAGGAAAGTTTAACCTTTATTACAGATCTGCTAGTCCAGGGGAATTCCGGATCCAAAGCCTGAACTGAACTCATGGGGAGGCTCTGACCTATATATCTCCTCCTGTGGCGGGCCCCTGAGGGTCCCCCCAGCTCCACCCAAGTCAGTCTTGGCAGAACCTTGGAGGCATGCTCTGCAGCTCCGCCCAAGTCAACTGTGGCGGGGCCCTGGGGTTAGGCTCTGCAGCTCCGCCCAAGTCAGTCAGAGTGGGGATTTAAGACTACAGGGTTTTTTTTTGTTTTGTTTTGGTTTTTTTTTAATATATTTTATTGAGTTTTTACAGAGATGAAGGGAGAGGGATAGAGAGTTAGAAACATTGATGAGAGAGAAACACCAATCAGCTGCCTCCTGCACACCCCCTACTGGGGATGTGCCCACAACCAAGGTACATGCCCTTGACCGGAATCAAACCTGGGACCCTTCAGTCCGCAGGCCGATGCTCTATCCACTGAGCCAAACCGGTTAGGGCTAAGACTACAGTTTTAACCAGATACTGAACTAGGTTACAAGCGCGCCCCCCCCCCCCATTTTCCTTTTCAATGTGCGTCTTCTTGGCCCTGCCTGACCATCCCCAGTGGGTTGAGCGCCATGGCTCTAGAATAGAGTGTCTGCCTCCTGCCAAGCAGAGGAATAAGGTGTAAGAGAATAGGAAGGAAATGGCATAGCCACTATGAGGCAGGCCTGCATGACTCAGTGAGTGGTGAACTCTGGAGAGGGTGAGGTGGGCTAGAGGCAGGCATGGTCCAGCCTTGGGCCTTCCTCTTGGTCATCTGTGCTCCTGTCTGAAACCCATCTGAACCTACTTTCTCAGCCAACATTGTACCTGTCCAGACCTCTTCTTACCTCACTCAGAGGACAGAGCTGCCTCAGCGAATGCCTGGCCTTACTCGGTGAGCCCACTGAGGCCAGGCTGGGTGGTGAGTTTGATTGAGGTGTGTTCGTCTTCAATCAGGAATCACCTTTTTCATCAGTCTTGTTTGAACCACAGCAGACACTCTCTAACCCACAGTTTTAAGAACAAATGTGTAATATTTTATCTAGCTCTTCACATCCACATTTAGTGAAAACTAATCTGCCTCACTCCCAACAAAAATACTGTCCCTTTATCCGAGAGTCGGGAATTGTCAAGGAAAACATTTGTAGGAAGTGGGAAGTGGAAAGACTGAGTCAGTGCTAAGAGGCAGTTTGGCACCACTTTGCTGGGCACCATGCGCCTCCCTTGCTGCAGCACGAGGACGGAGGAGGACAGCCCAAGGTCACTTCCTGGCTGGTCTGCGGAGTCCAGAGAATCCCTGAGAGTTGGGTTTCCTGGCCATGCTCTGGCCATCCATTTTGTCTTCTCCTTGTCCCAGGTGGGTGTGTGGGATTTCCAGGGCCTCTGGTACCTTCCCATTACAGAAAAAACTGCCCTATAACAGCATAAGGTCAAAGAATAAAACAAGCTGCTTTGTGTTCTGCTCACCTATTTCCTGAGGAACACGGTGCTCTAATTAGGAGCTCTGCATGAGGTCTCTAGGGAGAAGGGGCCGCATTAAGAATGAAATCTTGAGCGAGCTGATGAGGAGGAACTTTACTAAGAGCCCTGGCAGACAGCCCAGTGCCCGAGTTCATGAGACCTATCTAGGTGGAGGAGGCCAGCTGATGGCTGACCCACAGAGGGACAGAGAGGATGGGGTAATGGTGCTTCTGTTACCCAGGCAGGGACCACGAAAGCCAAGGGATAGGGCTCTCTGGGTGCTATGTTCCCCGTGGCACTGGCAGAACAGAGGAGGGGTGGTATGGGTGTGTAATGTGTAGTTGGGGAGGCATGGGGTGGGTGGAGGGGAGGGGTGGGAAGGACCTAGAGCAGGCTCATGAGAGTACACTGGCATTTGGCTTCAGAATTGGAATTGCTCAGGCATGTTGGGTAAGAGTTCATGACCTTTTTTCATTATCCCCAAACAAGTGAACAAATAGGAAGTGGTATGAGATGGTGGCCTCCTGGGGAAGGACCAGAAGCTCTTAGCTTCATCAGCAAATGGTGGCCTGGTTCCATGTGCCAGGTGCTTCCTCACACATGTTATCAGATCCTCCTCATTTTTGAGAAGAGGAAACTTGCCTGAAGTCAAACTGCAAAACAGTCAGTGGTCACACCTATGTCTCATGACTGGAACGGGTACAGGCGAGATTAAACACTCATCGCCCTTGGATCTCTGTGATGGAGGGTTCATGTTGGGAAGAAAGGACTTGAGTGCTACGGGACAGAAGCGACAATGAGGCGAGCTTGCAGTTGCATGGTGGCTGGCACACTCGCTGCCAGACTTTGTGTCCAAAGTCGCCAAAGGCCTCACTTCCCATCCTGCCTGTGCCCAGGGACACTCCCTGCAGGGGGAGGAGAGTGTGGCCTCACCCAGACCCCTCAGTCCTTGTTCAGACAGGCCTCCTGGTAAGGTGTCACACCTGCATAAGCTCCGTTCCAGAGCCAGGTTTCTGTGCTGAGCAGTGTAGACAGCGGTGCCCTCTCCTCTTTGGGATGCTGCCTGGTGTCAGGGAGTGAGGGGAGGAGGATGACTGCTAACATACCCTAAATGTCAAGGTGTCTTAAATGCCACTCCCTCTGCACCCAGGCAGGGACCAGGAAGGTCAGGGGACAGGGCTGCTTCCCTGGCTTACAGGTGAGCCCATGGTTCCTGCTTGGGACTTTTCTGCAGTCTTTTCTTTTTTTTCTGCAGCTTTTTGTTTTGGTACCCTTCTAGGGCAACTTAGATTTAAAATACTATCAAATGCAATCTTTGTGCACAAGCAAGTTGACAACAACAACAAGGAAAATGGGATGTGAGAGTCCAGAAGATTCTGTCCTAGTTCCCTGCAGCCTGGAATGGCCCAAACCAGAGGCCCTCCTTCAGGGCCTTCTCTCCAGGGTCTGCCAGTGAGCTTTCATTGCTGTGACCCCAGAAAGCTGGTGGGTAGACTGCCTGATCTATACTCAAGTAGGGTACAGGTGTTGGTGTTGGGGAGGGGAAGGAGGCGAAACAACATGAAGAGAACACTCCCAGGGTCAGACACGGGTTGGTCTCCTGCCTCTACCCTTAAATCAGTGCCGGGATCCAGGATGAGACCCTCTGAGTCTCAGATTTCTTGTCTTCAAAAGGTTGCTGAGAATGGTTAATAATCCTGCCCTGCCTACCTCACAGCAGTTTATGAAATGAAATACACTATTCAAGTGTTAAGTTACTATAATTAAGTTGTGCACCTGGCTCCCAGCTTCCCAAGACAGCCAAGCTTATGTGAATATAAATTAGCACAACTTTGAAGAACACTGGCCACGTCTAACAAATCTGAAGCTGCACAGCAACTCTGCTGGGTGCCTGAGGTGGACCCTCTCTGTCCCTGACACCTTCTCACATTGCCTCCTCTTTGTTGTCTCTAGCTGGACCTTGCAGTTCTGTTACAGTTCTGCCATTGAGAGCCATTGTGGGACCTTTGAATTTGAGGTTGGGGGTCCTGAGAACAGAGAGGGGAACCTGCCCATCCATCTCCCAATCAATCAATCAATCTCTCTCTCTCTCTCTCTCTCTCTCTCTCTCTCTCTCTCTCTCTCTCTCACACACACACACACACACACACACACACACACTCACACTCTCCTGCACCAAAAGAGCACCAGCATGTGCACAGGGAGGCAGGTTTGTTGGTGATCGGGCAAATCTGGAATCCCTCCCCCGCAATGCCCA